TGTGACCCTGGGCAAGTCACTTAACCCCACTTGCTCCCCCCCCCCCCAAAATGCTTGAGGTAAAAGGGTTAGCTAGTTTATAGGGTGAAAGCCCAAAAGAGTTGAGATGGGTGAGGTCTTGGTGGTGGAGTGCAGTGTTAATTCTGATGTTGAGAAACAGGAGCTATTGAAGAGGGAGGGGGGAGTAAAGCAATCTCTCTCTCTCTCTCTCTCTCTCTGATTGCAATCACCCCTTCCTCCTTCCAGGAGGACTGTGACCTAGAAAACGTGTGGCTGATGGGTGGTCTGAGCGTGCTCACTTCTGTGCCTGGGGGTCCTCCCCTTGTGTGTCTGCTGTGTGCCAGCAAAGGCTTACATGAGGTCTGAGACCACCCCGTCCCCTCTGACACCCACTGTGCTCTCCCAGTCATGCCCTTGCTTGTGTTTTTTGCTACCCCGTCCTCAGTCCCCCAGTGTCCCCTGTTCCTAAGCATACCGTAACTCTTTGGCCTCCTGCAGCAGCAGTAAGATAGCTCTTTCTCTCTCTAGCTGGTGTTTTGTCAGGTGTGCTGTGACCCTTTCCACCCCTTCTGCTTGGAGGAGGCAGAGCGGCCACTGCCCCAGCACCATGACACCTGGTGCTGCCGCCGGTGCAAGTTCTGCCATGTCTGTGGGCGTAAGGGCCGTAGCACTAAGGTTCGACAATCGGGTCATTGGGCTGGGGGGTGCGGGGAGCGTAAATGGCCAGATCCTAGGATTGTGACATTTACTCTCATCTTAAACCGTGATAGCACCTCTTGGAGTGTGAGCGTTGCCGCCATGCCTACCACCCTGCCTGCTTGGGGCCCAGTTACCCAACTCGTGCCACCCGTAAGAGGCGTCATTGGGTAAGAGATCCCGACCCAGTCATCCCTATGCGTTGGCCTCATCTGTTATCCTCAAGTCTTTCTGACTCTACTTTTCAATGAACCTAAAACTTTGTGTATCTCCCTGACATCCCACTCTCCACCTACACTTCTTCTAGATCTGCTCAGCGTGTGTTCGATGTAAAAGCTGTGGAGCAGCTCCAGGGAAGAACTGGGACAGCGAGTGGTCAGGAGATTGTAGTCTTTGCCCTGGCTGTACCCAGCTTTATGAGAAAGGTAGAGAGCCTCTAGAGGTCGGGTCTGGGCAGTCTTTGTAGTAGATGCAGCATGATCTTTTAAGGAAAGGAGTGGAGTAGGTAGAGAGACCCACAGGAGAAGGAGGGGGCCTGGGTGGTGGGTCCCATCCTGTTCTGAGAAAGGTACAGACCTTGGGGGGGTGGGTGGAGAGGAGGTACTCTGGGAGTAGAGACTCAACAGAAGGACCCAGAGCTTGTGGAAAGAGAGGGTCCCTTCTGAACTCGCCATCTCTTCCCACAGGAAACTTTTGCCCAATTTGTACACGCTGCTATGAGGATAATGACTATGAGAGCAAGATGATGCAGTGTGCACAGTGTGACCACTGGGTGCATGCCAAGTGCGAGGGCCTCTCAGGTGGGTGGGGGGACCACCCTGGACCCCAGCCCTGCTCTCTCTGATGGTCCCCAGTCCCCTTCCCCTTCAGGGTGAGTGGACTATATATCCCATGAGCTCCCTGGGCACCACTTCCCCCAGCCTCCAGTGTTTTACTCTTGAGGGCTGCTGGGAGCTGCAGTCTCAGAGCTTTTCACTAATCTTTTCATCCTCATTCCTGCCCATTTTCAGATGAAGGCTACGAGATTTTGTCTGGGCTGCCAGACTCGGTGCTATATACGTGTGGGCCATGTGCTGGGACAGCCCCTCCTCGGTGGAGAGAAGCCCTGGATGGGGCCCTCCGGGGGGGACTGCACCAGGTACTACAAGGGTTACTGAGTGCCAAGGTGACTGGACCTCTGCTACAGTGCACCCAGGTATGGGAGACGGCCTGGGGGGTGGGGGGGGCGGCGCATGAAGAGGACCCTCGAAGGGCTGTGCTCACTTAGGGTGTCATTGCAGTGTGGACAGGATGGGGAGCAGTTGCACCGAGGACCCTGTGACCTCCGAGCTGTAAGCCAGCTCTTTGAAGATGGACACTACAGCTCTGTGGTATGGGCTGGTGGGCCTGCAAAAGAGTGGGCTTGGGGTGGTTGAGGATTAACAGAGGGACCTTTCCTAACAGCCCCCCACCCCCCTACAGCACAATTTCATGGAGGATGTGGTCGCTATCCTGATGAGACACATGGAGGAAGGGGAGGCCCCTGAGCGCCGGGCTGTCGGGCAGGCCAAGGGACTCTTATTGAAGGTGAGAAAGTTCAGCCTGGGGCAGGAGCCCTTCCATCTTCTCCACTTCTGTTCCAGCCACTTATTAACTTTCTCCCTTTCCTCTCTTTGCTGTGTCTCCTTTCCCTAGCTGCTAGAGTCTGCCTTCAGTTGGTTTGATGCCCACGATCCTAAGTACTGGAGACGGAGTACCCGGCTGCCCAAGTGAGCAGGGCTTTGAGGCCCAGGGTAGAGGAGAGGGAAACTTGGCAGGAGAATTTTCCTTTTGGTCCTGGGGCAGCTGAGTTCACTCAGTGATTGTCTTCCCTACTCTCTGCAGTGGAGTCCTGCCCAATGCAGTTCTGCCCCCATCTGCGGATCACATCTATGCTCAGTGGAGGCAACAAGAGTCTGAGACCCCAGTATCTGGCCACCCCCCTGGCGGAGGGGCCGTTCCAGGTAGAGGGTGGGAGGGGTTCCCTGGGTTTTTGAGGTGGGTGGGAGATCTAGTGCCAAAGCTGGGTTGAGGAGGGGCTAAGGCTAGGAGGCTGGAGCCTTGGTCCTGATAGCATGCTTTACTTTATAGCCACACAGGCAAAGGAGCTGGCTTTGGATCCCCCCCTAGAGGACCCACGCCAGTGTGCCCTCTGCCTCAAGTATGGAGATGCTGATTCCAAGGTAACAGAGGTGGCTTTGGGGAGGGGCATTGCTCTGTTCCCTAATCCCAAGCCAGGTGCAACCCCCTGCCCACCCTGGGATCCTCTCCCCCCAGGAGGCTGGAAGGCTCTTATACATTGGACAGAACGAGTGGACACACGTCAATTGTGCCATCTGGTCAGCAGAAGTGTTTGAGGAGAATGATGGCTCCCTCAAGAACGTTCATGCAGCTGTAGCCCGAGGCCGGCAGATGGTGAGGGGCTAGGAGCAAGTTAGGCTTTGGGAGCCTGTTTCCTCATCTGGAAAACGAATATAATACCTATAGGTCCTGTTCCATAGGGTTATTGTCAGATTTAAAATGAAAATACATAATTTGCTTTGCAGACCTTAAAATGCTATACAACTTAGCTGTTATCTTAAGTTTGGGGGTTCTAATCATTTCAGGAGAGGTTTGTGGGGTAAAGGGATTGGGATTAGATTAGTCACTTCTAGTGGTATGAGTTGTCCATGAACCCCCGTCTCCCCTCTCAGAGGTGTGAACTGTGCCTGAAGCCTGGGGCCACTGTGGGCTGCTGCTTGTCCTCTTGCCTTAGCAATTTCCACTTCATGTGTGCCCGAGCCAGCTGCTGTATCTTCCAGGATGACAAGAAGGTTTTTTGCCAAAAACACACGGACCTCCTGGATGGCAAGGTGGGACTGTGGCCTTCAGGGTAGGGGCAGATCCTCTGATCCCTCTTTTTTGCCCTCTTCATCCTGGAGCCTTCTCCATTATGTCTCACCTGACCTAAACTGATCCTCTTGAAGTCACACCCCTTCCTTATATTATGTAGATACAAAGCACAGAGACCCTCGTGCCCACTCCCTGTGTCTGTTTAACCTCTCCTGGTAGTGCGGTTGGTGGGCCATTAACTTTGCTGACACTTCCCACTCCCCACACCCTAGGAGATTGTGACCCCTGATGGCTTTGATGTCCTCCGCCGGGTCTATGTTGATTTCGAGGGCATCAGTTTCAAGCGAAAGTTTTTGACAGGATTGGAGCCAGACGCCATCAATGTGCTCATCGGTGAGACACTCACCCCCTCTCCTGCCCTCCTCGCGCTCTTGGTGTTCCCTGTTGAGACTCCCCTCATCCACCCCATTCCCAGGAGTCAGCCTTCTTTGTCGTGCTCTTTTCTTCTCACAGGCTCCATCCGAATTGATTCCTTGGGAACACTGTCTGACCTGTCTGACTGCGAGGGAAGACTCTTTCCCATTGGCTACCAGTGAGAGGCCTTGCCTGATATGCTGGGGGTGTGGGAGGAAGGGAGAAGCCATGGCCTGGGCTCGAAGCTCTTCTGGACACTCCTCCTCTCCTCACTTCTCAGGTGCTCACGTCTGTACTGGAGCACAGTGGATGCCCGTCGGCGCTGCTGGTATCGGTGCCGGATCCTAGAGTATCGACCCCGGGGCCCTCGGGAGGAGCCTGACCACACAGGGGCAGCAGAGGAGAATAGGACCATTGTGCATAGCCCCATCCCTACTTCAGGTACACCCTTTCCCCATGAGGTACTGACCTTCCCTGCCCACTGCTTGCTAGCTTGTAGGGACTGTCTCGTTCACCTGCAGATAGTTATTCCGCTGCACTTTGCATCCAGCTCTGTGTTAGCTGTTGTGGTAGGAGGAAGGGGATAGGAAGCCACGTTTTTTGTCCTCATAATTGCTGAGCTTTTTCGTGGGAGGGAGGGGACCTGGAGAGAGGGTGAGCCGGGTACAAGGAAGGCATTGTACAGGCGGGGCTTGAGCTGGATCTTGGAGGATACGGATAGGGCAGAGGGACTGGACGAAGCCATGTGAATTGTAGACAGAGCAAAGGCAGAGGGGTGGTGCTGTCTGTAACAGCCAAAGGCAACCTGGTGGCAATGGAAGAGTAGAAAGGGGCCAGGTTGTCTGAGGCCCTGAATGCCAGATTCAGGAATTTAGCTAGGGTTGAGCGGTTTAGTAGGAAGCCTGGAATTTTATTGAGCAGGGAGAGGATGTGATGACAGCAGTACCGTTAATACCCTTCAAGTGATTATTCTTTCAGTGTTGCGTGAGATGGATTCGAGGAGGAAAGCTCTGTAAGGGGTTGAGGCCTGACCAGAGGGGCTGATGGGTAGCTTTGGTACTAGAAATGGGGTGGGTGTGAGAAAAGCTGTGAGGCCTAATCAGCAAAACTGAGGAGGCAGAGGACCTTGAGCTGTCAGGCCCCGTGAATGGGAGATGGGTGAGAGGAGGAGGGAAAGATGTGTCTGTGATTCTGACGGTGGAGAGTAGAGAGTTTCCTCGTAACTGGGATACACTGAAGTTCTTTTAGGGAAGAACGTGGGAGAAGACTCTAGAGCCTGACGGAACGCTGCCCATGTCTGGGGAGTAGTGAGAGAAAGGGGAAGCAAGTTCAGAACATTGAGAGAGGGCGGAATGAGACTCTGAGATTGCACCTGGGGGAGACGCAAAGGAATGAACAGAGGGTAGGTCCCCCTGCCCCCATAGGACCCATTTTCTCTTTCTCTTCCCCTAATGTTACCTGTCATGTTATTTCAGAGCTGCTTGGAGCTGAGTGCCCCCAACCAGGGCCTGACACAGTTTCCCTGGGTCCTGAGCGCTACTCCCCTGCCCAGAACACAGGCCCCTTGCCACCCCCTCCAGAGCAGAGCATCACCCCTTCCCCAGTTCCCCGATCTGTCTCAGGGGCTAGAATCAAAGTGCCCAACTACTCACCTTCCCGAAGGCCCCTGGGAGGTGTCTCCTGCTGGCCACTCCCCTCCCCTGGTGAGTATGAACAAAGCAGCTGTCCGAGAGGGGACTGGCTCGGGGAGTGTAGAGATGGGCGGGTCATTCAGGGATGAAGAGAGGAAGAGTGAGCGGTGTTGATGTTGGGCTTAGAGCATGGAGCCTGGTGTCTTCTCCTCCCTTACAGGAAGTCCATCATCTCTGTCTCACCACATCCCAACAGTTGGTGATCCAGACTTCCCAGCTCCCCCAAGACGATCCCGCCGTCCCAGCCCCCTGGCTTCCCGGCTACCACCCCGATGGGCCTCTCCACCCTCCAGGCCCGCTCCTCAGCTCAGGGTGCCCCCTCCTACCTCAGCCCTCGAGGCCCTCATGCCTACCTCAGGGGAGCTGGCTCCCCCTGGTCCAGCCTCCTCCCCACCCCCTCCTCCTGAGGACTTGGGCCCTGACTTTGAGGACATGGAGGTGGTGCCAGGGCTGAGCGCGGCCGACTTGGACTTTGCGGCTAGCCTGCTTGGGTCTGAACCCTTCCAGGAGGAGGAGATTGTGGCAGAGGGGGCTGGGGGAAGTAGCCGGGGAGGTCCTGGGGATAGTTCAGAGGAGGAGGCTGGCCCTGCTGCCCACTACATTCACTTCCCCCCAACTGTGGTGCCTGGGCCTGTCCTACCACCTGGTCCCATACCTGGAACCCCCAGAATTGAACAGCTGGACGGAGTGGATGATGGCACAGACAGTGAAGCTGAGGCCGTCCAGCAGCCCCGGGGCCAGGAAGCCCCCCCTTCGGGGCCAGGGGTTGGGGGGGGTAGGGGGTGGGGGGGGAGGAGATGGGGCAAGGCCCCCTGAGGACCTTCCTTCTGAAATTGTGGAGTTTGTACTAAAGAACCTGGGTGGAGCTGGTGAGGGTGGGGCTGGCCCTGGTGAAGAGCCCCCCCCTACCACCCCCCCCACTGGCTAACGGCAGCCAGGCGCCCCCAGCCCCACTCCCCACCCCAGCTGATCCCCCCCGGACGTTCACCTGGCTTCCTGGGGCTCCTGGAGTTCGTGTGCTAAGCCTCAGTCCTGCCCCTGAACCCCCGAAAACTGCTGCCTCCAAGATCATTCTTGTTAACAAACTGGGGCAGGTGTTTGTGAAAATGGCAGGGGAGAGTGAGCCAGCCCCACCTCTGCCAAAACGGCCCCCACCAACCCCTCCTACTGCCACCCCAGCCTGGGGCCTCACCCCTGGGCCCTTGCTGAGTGTGCTGCCTGTGGTGGGGGTGGTGCGCCCCCCACCTCCGCCTCCTCCATCGCTGACCCTGGTGCTGAGCAGTGGGCCCCCCAGCCCCCCCCGCCCAGCCATTCGAGTCAAGAGGGTGTCAACCTTCGCTGGCCGCAGCCCCTCAGCACCCCCCCCAAACAAGGCCCCCCGGCTGGATGGGGAGGGGGAATCCCCCGGGAGTTCCCCCCAATCAGCGGGGGCCTTGGGCAGTGGGTGAGTGGTGACGGGGGCAAGAAGGAACTTTGGGAGGTGGGCAGTGGTTTAAGGGATGGGGAGGGAGATGTTACGGGCAGCCATATGGGTCTTCTCTTCAAATCTCTACGTTACTTTGAACTAGATTGAGCAGAGTACGGATGAAAACGCCCACTGTACGAGGGGTCCTTGACCTGGATGCTCCTGGGGAACCTAGTGGGGGAGAAAGTCCTCTGTGAGTGACCTACCTCTTCTCAGTTGCCAAGAATCTTGACCTCTGCTCCTTCGAGCTCTGACTGGCTACCTCTCCTTTCCACAGGACCCTTCCTGACCGGTCCCCATTGCTACCGCTGCCAGACTGTGGCTTCCCTAAGGTCTCAGATGGCCCCCCAGACCTGCTGCTTGAGCCCCAGTGGCACCACTACTCAGGTATAGCCCACATTCCTCTTCCCTTGGGTCTGGGCCGCACTCTCCTGCCTGCAGCAAGGTCAGGGGACCGGCAACCAGAGCCTTCTCACGGCTGTAGTTTGTCCAGGGAAATGAAAACACGGGAAGTGGGCATTGGCTACTAAGTGCCAGCCCAGGTGGCGGGAGCTGGCCTCCTGCGGGCTTCCTTGAAAGGAGTAGGGTGTCATGCCCATTTCCAGTGGATGGGGGGCCATGTGAGCGTCAAGGCATGTCTGGAGGGCTGGACCAAAGATGGCAGCTCATAAAGTGACACGCACAGAATGTTTGGGGAACCTGATTGGAAGCTCCTTCGTTGTGATGGCAGGTGAGGCATCAAGTTCAGAGGATGATCCACCATCCCCTGAAGACAAGGAGAACCAGGGGCCCAGGCGGGCGGGCCCCCACCTGCGCTTTGAGATCAGCAGTGAAGATGGCTTCAGTGTGGAAGCTGAGAGCCTGGAAGGTGAGATGGGGGGAGTGGGTTGGGGGGGAGCAAAGCAGGGCCGGGATCCAGGTGCTAATCATCCCATCTCCTCAGGGGCATGGCGGACCTTGATTGAGAAGGTCCAGGAGGCCCGGGGTCATGCTCGGCTCAGACACCTCTCCTTCAGTGGTGAGCTGGGGTCTGGGGGAGGAGGGGCTGTGGCACATAAAACAAGGAAACAGGAGGGGACAGGGTGGAGGAGTCTGCTGAGTTGGGGGGGTGGGGTGGAGCAGGCAGGAATGGGGCAGGGTAAAGGAGGCAAAAGGGGCCCCATGTGATGCCCCCTGGCCCTCCGCTCCGCCCCCCCCCCCCCAGGGATGAGCGGTGCACGGCTCTTGGGGATCCACCATGATGCTGTGATCTTCCTGGCTGAGCAGCTGCCAGGGGCCCAGCGCTGCCACCACTACAAGTTCCGATACCACCAGCAGGGGGAGGGGCAGGAGGAGCCTCCCCTGAACCCCCACGGTGCCGCCCGGGCAGAAGTCTACCTCCGGTGAGACGTGAGGTCGGGGTCTTTGAGGAATGGGCTGCTCCTCTGGCCATTTTAGGGCAGGCTGAAATGACTCTGCCCTTGCCCCTCAGGAAATGCACCTTTGACATGTTCAACTTCCTGGCGTCTCAGCACCGAGTGCTGCCCGAGGGCGCTGCCTGCGATGAGGAGGAGGACGAGGTGCAGCTCAGGTCTACCAGGTATCGGGGCAGGGGTCTAGGTCTGAGAGGTCGGGGGCCGGGGTCCCAGGAGCATGGGGGGCCCTGGCACATAAGGCTCATGCTTTTCCCTGCCCCAGGCGTGCCACCAGTTTGGAGCTGCCCATGGCCATGCGCTTCCGTCACCTTAAGAAGACATCCAAAGAGGCTGTGGGGGTCTACAGGTGAGGGGGGTGCTGGTGGCGTCTGTGGCGTACACTGTGGGGGATGGGGGGATGCAGGCCACACCCTGGAGGAGGGGCACAGCCCCGAAGTTACGTCGTGCCCCCTCCCCGTGCAGGTCAGCCATCCACGGCCGAGGCTTGTTCTGCAAACGCAACATTGACGCTGGGGAGATGGTCATCGAGTACTCGGGCATCGTCATCCGCTCAGTGCTCACAGACAAGCGGGAGAAGTACTACGATGGGAAGGTAGGTGAGGGGCTCCTGGGGCCCTGGGCCCGGGGCCCGGGGCTAGGAGGGAGGTCCTCACTGGCTCCTGCCCTTCTCCCCAGGGCATTGGGTGCTACATGTTTCGCATGGATGACTTTGACGTGGTGGACGCCACCATGCACGGCAATGCCGCGCGCTTCATCAACCACTCGTGTGAGCCCAACTGCTTCTCACGGGTGATCCATGTGGAGGGCCAGAAGCACATCGTCATCTTCGCTCTGCGCCGCATTCTCCGGGGGGAGGAGCTCACCTACGACTACAAGTTCCCCATCGAGGACGCCAGCAACAAGCTGCCCTGCAACTGCGGGGCCAAGCGCTGTCGCCGCTTCCTCAACTGACACCCTGCCCTCCTAGCTCCGGCTGTGGGCCCCTGGCCTGGCCCCGAGGGGATCCCACTCACATACTTTACCATCTTATTGCCCCCTCCCGCCTCAGCACGTGTCCCCAGGGAGCCCTGCCTGCAGGGTCCAGGATGTAGATAGATTGTACAAAGGTTTCTAAATCCCTTCTTTTCTATGCACTTTTTTTATTTAAAAGGTGGGGTCCCAGGGGGGACTCCCCCCCACAATAAAGTCCGTCAATGTTTGGATCCACAGCGTCTGAGTCTGTGTGGGGCTGATGGTACCTCCTTTTTTTTGGGGTGGAAGTCTGTGGTGTTCAGTTTTATCACACGTTACGTGTGAGGTCTGAGAGGTCCTAAGCCCTGTGGGCCTCCTCAGTTTCTGCATCTGTGAAGTGAAGACTGAGGCGATCTTACGTCCTGAGTCTTAGCAGCAAGCAGGTGGTGCCAGTGTGCTCTAGTGAGATGCCCCTGCTCACCTGGTTCAGCACACGTCGGGTGCTTTTGGCCCTGTGGTTCAAATGACCACATCCCCCTAGTGAGACTGCAGAGCCAGAGTGCAGAGGCAGCATGATTTATTTCTTGTTACAATCACGGCAAGCAGGGCTGAGCAGGGTGTGCAGACCGAAGTATGGGGGGAGACGGGGACTGAGGGAGCTGGGGGGGGAGCTGCTGGCCTGGCAGCCTTCACCTGAGCTTATGCAGCACTCCCAGTGCATCACCACGCCCCAGGTGGCTCAGGTGGTCAGCCAGCTGGCCCAGCTGGGCAGTGGGATTCTGAGCTGTCACCGTTTCCAGCAGGGCACGAAGTGGGGAGTGTGCAGGCCGCAGGGAGTAGGCAAAGGTGGCCCAGGAGGCTGGGAGACCATAACAGGCAGCCAGGTGGCGGGTGGTTCCCCACGCAGAGCCCCCACGGGGCCCCGGTTCAGGGTCCAGCAGGACAACCAGCTCCTCCAACACCTCTAGCTCATCCAGAAGTCGTGAGAGGGGCTGGTGTGCCAAGGTGGGGGGCACTAGAACGGCAAGAGGAAAAGGTCAGGAAAGAAGGAAGTCCTGAGCCAGCTGCACCCACCCCGCTCCTCCCTTAAGGACTCACCAGGCTCCTCAGTTAGGGGGAAGAACTTGCAGGCTTCCCCAGCTTCTGCCACCTTCTCCTCGTTTTCAGCCCTCCCCAACAATGTCTGTAAGGCAGCTGAAACAAGCAGGCCTCCCACCAGAAGGGCGGTAATGCCCACCACGTACCAGGCCATGCTCCCTGCAAAGGCTGAAATAGGGCCTCATGGAATACACACCAACCTTGTGAATGGGGAGAAGGGGGCAGGGTGCCTCTGAAAAGGGGCAGCACTTACGTTGTTGAGGCACCCAGGGTCTGGGGGATGTAGGAGGCCCATCACTTGGTCCTGGGCCTCGGGGGTTTGCAGAAGATGAGGATTTTGTGGGTATTGCTACATTTTCCCAATCGCACCGATTCCTGGGAGGGGGTATGGGTTTGCAGGAAAGGGTTACTGGGTTTGGGGAGGCTGTGGCACCTTATTCATCTTGGCCCAGGTACCCCGAGTCTAGCCAGGGGCTTACCAGGGGACAGAGGGTTCAGGAGCGACTGGCTCGGGCTGCTGGGGGTTGGGATGGGGCAGAGATGGGGGCTGAGGAAGGTCCAGGCACCGACTGCACTGCTCAGCCCTGTCCCTGTTGCATAGCCCCGGTGGGCATCGAGCAAATGGGAAATCCATGAGGTCCCCGCGGTCGCTGAGGCCACAATGGCGGGTGAACTCGTAATCTGACGGGAGGAGGGAGAGAAGCGGCACCTAAGATGCAAGACCCCAACCCCCTAGTCCGCCCACAACTTCAGCCCCTGCCTCCCCTTGCGTCCCTCACCTGGGCAGGTTGGCGGGCCGAAGCGCTCTAGACACCGCCTGCAGCATCCGCGTTTGAAGTCCCAGTACTCCAGAAAGCCGCAGTGCCTGGAGACGGGGGCGGTTCCCAAGGCCCAGGAGAGGAGTGTGGCCCCCCAGAGTGGGAGGTGGAGCCACATGGGGAAGGGTGGGGCCTGCGAGCAAGGTGGATTTAGGCCTGGCGCCGACTGCTACCCCAGGCAAGTTAATTTAGTGTTTCAGGAGAAAACCTCAGCGGAGTTTCCGGCCACCAACCAGATGGTAGTTGTCCAGACCAGAGGGATAAGACTGCCTCTAATCACCCAACCCCCACCAGGGCCCACTCAGCCAGCCCCCATCGTGGTCCTCAAAATCCCACTTCACCTGTCAGAGTCCTCTTTCCACTAAGGACCTGTGTGCTCTGTTCTTAAAGGTTTTTGCTTCCTGCCTTGTCCCCCTCCACCCTGCCCCCCAAATCCAGGCTTCTGGATTCCCAGCCCACACTCCATCAGGGACCCAGAGCTCCAAGGCCCCCCCGCCCCCACAACTCATGCCCCACTAGAGGAACCCCACCACCACCACCCCACCCCCTGGCACCTGAAGCTGGTCCTGCCGTCTTGTTCAGGGCCCCACTCCCTCCCTTAACTTCCCTTTCCGGGCAGACTGCGTCATCCACATTGGGGGGTGGGGATAGGGTGGCCTGGGCTGGAACCTTGCTGACTTCTCTGGGCCTCAGATTGTCTCTGTAAAATGAGGGGTTGATCTAAAGTCCTTCCAGCTAGCTCCGAGTCTCCGATGAGCCTACGAGCACCTCACAAGACTACTTCACAATTTCCCATCCCCTCCTTCCTTAGCCATCTCAGCCCCTGCCCCGGCAGAGCAGGATGCAAAGGCATCCCACCACCCCAAGTGCGAAGGGACTAAAGGACAGACAAGAAATTTTATTGGGGGAAGAAGGCAGGGGATTCCTGCTCCTCCTGTGTTCCTTGAAGAGAAATGGAGGGACCACGAGGTCCCTGGGTCCCCAAAGTCTGGATGTGGAAGAGAAGCAGGGGAGGGGAAGACCACAGCAGCAGGTGTCCTGGGGAGGGATCTGAGAGGCGCTATTGCAGCAGCGTCGGGGGCCTCAAAAGCGTCCCTGGCGGTGGTCTGGAGATCGCCTCCTGTTCCTTTCTCGAGGGCGGTGTCCCCCTCCGAGTCTTGTGGGTGATGGTCTCCTGGAGGAAAGGGGTCACAGGGACAGGGATCAAGCAGAGGGGATGGCAGCAGCCTTGCCCCCGTTCACGTTCCTGCCTTATTCCCATTTCCCCGTTAGCCAGGCCAGGCTCACTCCCTACTAAATACCTTCTTCTCGGGCCGCGTCCATACAGCTGCCTTCGAAGGTCCCGGGAGATGGGCCGAAGGTGCATGAAGTTGCAGAAACCACCCCGGGTGCATTCGCTGTGGCATTAGATGGGCAGGCAGAATCACAGCCTGGACCCCCCCCCCCCCCCCCGCTAATGCCCTGAGCCCAGCCTAGCCTTGCCCCAGAGGTCTCCCTTCCCAAGCCTAGCCTTGCCCCGGGGGTGTCCCTTCCCCCCCCGCCCCGCCCTGCCTCGCCCGGGGGGCCTCCCTTCCCCCCAGCCCACGACCCCACCGGCTTGAGGAACGCCCTCACCCCCTCCCGCACCCCATCTCATATTGCCGACAGCATGACTCCCGGAAGTCCGTGACGGGAGAGAGCTCAGCTTGCACAGCCTGCCCGTTGAACCAGCGGTTGTTGAGCTCGGTCACCGCCCGTTCTGCATCTTCTTCTCTCCGGAACTGGGGGCACAGGCAGGGACAGGGGTTAGTAGTGGACAGTCTATGGCAGGGGCTCGGAAAGGCTCGGCTAGGCAGCGGGCGGAGTAGGGGGGAGGGCCTTGGGGAGGCGCATGACGCAGGGGGTCTCTGCTCTGGGAAACGGAGAGGCCAAGGTGCCGGAGCCCCAAGATCCGACAGCCCGGAGCTGGGGGCGGGGCCTCAAGCACCTTGACGTAGACGTTCCCTACTAGGTGGTCCCCCAAGTTGTCACAGACGTTCATCTCCTCGATCTCCCCGTACTTTTCCTGCAACTCCGTGAACACCTCCTGTGTCGGGAGGACGGGATGGGAGGTCAGGCTCAGACAGTGGGGGGGAGGCTGGGCCCCCAACTCCTCCTCCCCGGTGGGGCTCCCCTCACCTCAAAGAAACTGTCATAATGTTCCTGCACCTCTACATCACTGACATGACCTGGAGAAGTCGGGGATGAAAAGAAAGGTCGCGGGTCGAAAGCAGACTCCTCCGGAGGCCTTCTCCACTTGTGACATTCAGTCTTTCGAGTCACCATCCCGCAAGACAAGGGTTCCCCCATTCCTGACTCGGGCCTGGCTGGGTTCCCTTTAGCTCGAGCCCTGCCCCCTCCAGGGCAGTCCTCAGCCCCAGATACCCATCCCCTGCCCCAGTCCTCACAGTGGGATCCATCCGCTGTCTGGGCCGTGTTCTGAGGGTTCCGGTACAGGTTGAGCAGCACGATGGTCTGAGGTGAGGGAGATGAGGTGGGAAAGGGGAGGGGTCAGCTGGGGATCAGCCTGAGGCCAGAAGGGCCGGCGCCGAGGGAGGGGGATGAAGAGGAGGGGTTAATGAAATGAACATGCTGTGCGGTGAGGCCTGGGGAGAACAAGAGTAGGGGCAACCCTGGCATTCCTCTTGGGAAGTGGGGGGGGACTGCCTCACCTGACTGAATGTGGGTTTATTGTGGAGCCGGGAGCACCGGTCCCCGTGCCTGCAAGCCCCAATCTTAAAGTAAAAAGAGCAGTTAACCCTGAAAGAAGGGTGAAAATAGGAGGTGAACGGGGTGGTAGGGCACCTGCTGCCCCTCCCCCAGCACTGGGACCTGCACCCCTCCCCCCAAGGGCCCTACCAAGTGGGACCTGCCACCCCTCCCCAGTCATCCCTCCTCCCCAGGGCCCTGCCAAGTGGGAGCTGCCACCCCTCCCCCACCAAGTGGGACCTGTCACTCCTCCAGGACCCTGTCAAGTGGGACCTGTCACTCATCACCCACCCCAGGACCCTGCCAAATGAGACCCCCTGCCGCCCCTCCCCTGGGGACTCCGATGGCTTGGGTCCCCAGCACGACCGCTCCTCCTACCACCACCACCACCGATTCTTACTTGTCCTTTTCTGTCCCGAAAATCGACGCTAAATATTCAGCCATTTTCACCCGCTCCCTCCACCTGTCTGCTTCACGCGTCACTTCCGATGATATAAGCCGCTTCCGGGGCTGGCTTTGAGGCGAGGATCCCTGGGAGTTGAAGTCCGGAGGGTAGGGGGAGGTGCCTGTGCGGGAAACATGTCCCCGGACCGCCCCTCCCTGCAAGTAGCGAGGCGGGAGAGGCTGAGCCTGTGAGCGAGGCAGAGGGGACAGATCCCTGAGGGAGTTGGGGGCTGGAGGCGAGGGAGAAGGCGCCGAAGTTGTCAGCCGCATGCGTGCGGAGGATGGACCACAAGCCCCAGAAGCCCCGGCGGCACTAGGCGCAAGCGCATTGAGAAAGAAGGAAGGAAAAGCGGCGGGTGAGTTGGGGGACTGCACTCCTATCCCCCACCCCGTTCTACTCCCTGGCCTGGGGTGGGTCGGGGGGAGGAGGGTGGTGATTCTTTTCAGCCCTTCCTTTCGCTGATTCGGACCCGGTTCACTCGCGGCAGGAGTGACTCGTACCGGCTGGGGCTCCCGTACGATAGCGGGGGACGCTTGGGGATCCCGACTCATCTCCTTTTCCCTGCAGCCCTTCCCCGTCCTTACCCTGGACCCAGGATGAACCTGGAGCGGGTGTCCAATGAGGAGAAGCTGAACCTCTGCCGGAAATACTACCTAGGTGAGGCGGGGAGGGTGGCAGGGGGTCCCTCCTTCCCCAATCCCCCGCACCCTGGGGATGTCGGCGTGGGGGGCTGGGCCCTTGGGTCCCCCATCCCCCGCCCCCGGAGGGAGTGGCCGAACCAATGCCTCTGTCCCCCACCCCCTTCCTTTCCAGGCGGGTTTGCGCTCCTGCCCTTTCTCTGGTTGGTCAACGTTCTGTGGTTCTTTCGGGAGGCCTTCCTGGCCCCAGCCTACGAGGAGCAGGGACAGATCAAGGGCTGTAAGTCCCTGGAGGCGTGGCGGGGGGAAGGGAAGAGAAGAAGTGCTTGCACTCACACTGAAGGCCGGGGCAGGACAGGTGGTAAATAAAACTCCTGGCCAGCCAAGGCTTGGTTTGATTTTTGCCTTCTCTTCTTCCCCTATTCCGGCCTTTCCAGACGTCTGGCGGTCAGCCCTAGGGCTGCTCTTTTGGCTCGTGGCACTGACCTCCTGGATCACCATCTTCCAGATCAATCGAGCCCGCTGGGGAGCCCTGGGCGACTATCTCTCCTTCACCATCCCTCTGGGGATACCCTGATCAGTCCTCCCCTCCCCTGCCAGCTCATGGCCAGGCCACCTTCTCACCCTGCCTTGCCTCCGGCACTGGGCCAGTATGGCTTCCAAAGGTGAAGATCTAACATCCTTCAGGTCCCCACAGCCTTTTGTTTAGCCAGGTGGCTCCCAGAACATCTATCCCTGACTAATTTACTACTTCTTTTCCCTGTAGCCTCCACTGAGACTCCCAAATAAAAAAAGCAAAGGATATTTCATGGGAACTGCTGTTCCCTACTCCCTTTTTTTCTGGGAGGGGTGGGATCTCCATATTTCACAGATGAAGAAACTGAAATCTCTGCGAGATCACACCCTAGAGTCATGGAATCTTAAATCTGGGAAGGCCCTGTCTGACCAAGAAACCTATCCACAACTGGTCACTAGCTTCTCTTTGAAAGGTCCCAGTGATAGGAAGCTTGTCCACTATGATGTACAGCAAAAATACATTTCACCCGTGGACTACTATAGTTGTTAATTTTCCTCTCAGTGAAGCTGGTACCTCAATAAAGTGAGGAGAGATAATGGTATTATAGGGAAAAGAGGCCTGGATTTGGAGTCAGGACCTAGCTTTCAATTTATCCGCTCACTGGCTTGCTGTGACTTTGGACCAGTCCTTCCTCCTATCTGGGCTTGAGTTTTCCTAGCTGTAAAATAGGGAAGATGCACAGATGATTCAATTAGGGATTGGGTCTCATTAGTAGAGAGAACTTCCAGGTAAGTAAGCTGTCTTTGACACCAGGGTAGAGGGTGTGCAAATGTATAGATAGAGAATATTTTTGGTGTTCAGTTGTGTCTGATTCATTGTGACCCCATTTGGGGTTTTCATGGCAGAGACACTGGAATGGTTTGCCATTTCCTTCTCCAGCTCCATTTTATAGATGAGGAAACTGAGGCAAATAGGGTGAAATGACTTGCTCAGGGTCACACAGCTGGTTAGTGTCTGAGGGAAGATTAGAACTTAGATCTTCCTGACTTTAGGCCCAGCACTCTATCCACTGTGCCACCTAGCTGCCCCAAAGAATATATAAAATAGGCAAATACAAAAGACAGAAATTTGTGTTCCTGTCATCTCTGTCCAAGACACTGTGCTGGTCTCTGGGACACTCCCACTCTTTAGGAGTTAACATTCTCCTGGGAAGGATGCCACAGATGGCACGAACACCTGGGAGGATGTGAGAGATAGTTCGGGGAACCTCCCTAGAGAAAGTGTTGTTTGCTGTGAGCCTTGAAGGAAAAACAGTCAAGACTTCTGAAAGGTAGAAATAAATAGAGACTGACTTCCAGGAATGGAGGATGGGTTGAGGGACAGCAGAGGGTCATAGGTTTAGAGCTGGAAGAGACCTGAAAAGACACCTCGTCCAGCCCCCTCATTTTACAAATGAGGAAATTGAAGCTCAGGCTGTTTAGGGGATTTAAACCGGGAGGGCTGAATTCTGGGAACAGCTGTTCCATTTGGCCGGACTGTAGAGTATGTGAGGGTTGTGAGCAGATTATGGGGGGGTCCCAAGGGCTAGGCGGGTGGCTTTCGTTTTGGTGCAGAGGTGGTGGGATCCACGTCTGGCTGGAGCAGGGGATGATCTGGAAGCCCTCTGGGTTCAGTTCACAATGGACCCCCCCCCTTGCACAATGGTACAAATCTCACTTCCCACATCTGTAAAATGGACTAAGACTAGGGAAGTCAACTCCCTGCTGCCCGGTTGTTTAAAGAGGCGGAATCCGTTGTCTAGCAACGCAGGACTGCCGCGAGGTCCCTTTTCTCCTTCCCTTTTCAGTCTAGGAGCCCCTTTAAGCCATTGGCACTACAAGTCCCAGGAGTCGTGGCGCGGCAGTCTCAGCCTGCGCCTCCCATAGTGCCTCGCGCGGCCTGGCTCAGGGGACACGTGAAGGGAACGTCGAGCCACGAACTACACCTCCCATGAGGCCCCGCGCGGCTGGACCAGGGGACGTTAGTTTGGTTTCCGGAAGAATGGTTTAGGGGTGGGGCTTCGAGCGGGAGGTGGCCGTTAGCGGCTTCTGATTGGTCCATTCCGTAGACGAGCGGCCCCGCTGCCCAATAGAAGCAAGGGGCGGGCGGGCCAGGGTGAGACCGTGGGAGCTAAGCCGCTGCGGTGGCCCAAGGCGGAGGTGAGGAGCTGTCCCTCCGGAGTGGTCCGCACGTCCTGGGCCGAGAAGGTGGGATTCCTAAGGCTGAGAGAGAAGCTCTCTTCCCAAACCTGACCTCCCATCTGCCGCGTGACTGGCCCCGGCTCTGACTCCGGACCTCCCGGACTGACCCCTGACCCCTGACCCCTGCTGCCGTCCCCGCCCCGGGGCACTGCTGGCTACCCTGCTGCCCCAATCGGAACCGGAGCCCGGGCTAGAGCGATGTTCCCCGTGAAGGTGAAAGTGGAGAAGTCAGGTAAGGGAGGACCAGGGGGGGCTCCCCCGAGGAGGAGGGAGCAATCCGGGAGGGCGGCCTGGAGGAGGAGGGAGCAGTGCCAGCAATGCGGGGTGCAGGTGGCTGCGTGGAGGAGGAAGGAGCAAGGAAGGAGGGACTTCCCGGAGGAGGAGGAGGAGGAGGGAGCAGTGGGATGTGGGATGTGGGATATAGGGAAGAGGAAGCAATCTAGGAGGTCCGCCTGGAGAAGGGGGAAGGGGCGCTCCCCGGAAGAAGAGGGATCTAGGACCTGCTGGAAGTGGGAGGATGGAGGGCTGCCTGGAGGAAGAGGGATCGGGAGGGGCCTAATTGCGCGGCCAAGTTCCCCAGGGGTCTGGGAGCCAGCCACTCGTCCACTCACGGATGACCTGAGGACCTGTGACCAGATGTTGCCTGAGGCTCTGATCTTTCTCCTCCCCAGAGCTGGAGATGTCCAAGGCCAGGAACCACTTGGACGCCGTATTGCAGTGTTTGCTGGAGAAGAGTGATGTGGACCGGTGAGGGGGGGGGCGGGTCCAGCTAGGGAGACTCCCCCTCGCCAAGGAGGCCGTGTTCAAAGCTGCTCTGGTCACATACATCCCACCTGGAGCCCGGGGAAGAGCCTCGGGCCGGGTCTGCCTGCCACCAGCCTGCTGTGTGGCCTCGGGGAAGTCCTTTTCCATCTCTGGGCCTCCCTTTGTTCCTCTGTAAGATGGGGTGGGTGGGGTAGCTCAGTGATTAGGGCTGGTGAAGAGATGTGGGAGGTTCAGCCGGAGGAGACTTAGATCCCCGACTTCCAAGCTGCCCCGTGCCCCCCAGGGGCGGAACTCTGAAAGGCTAGATGGAGCTTCTCATAATGGGCTTCTTCAGGACCCTGGAGGGATCCAAGCCAGGAGGGCCAGGAGGTCAACCCTAAGGCCTGACCTTCTGTAATTCTGTCTCCCAAAGGGAACAGCTGGAGGAGGAGGCCGGGAAAACACCCTCCGATGCTCACAGCAAGTAGGTCACTGGCCAGGTTTGGGTGGGCCGGGGATCATTGGACGCCCCTTGGGCTCCATGGGCCAGGGTGATGCTGTCTTTCTTCTCCCTAGGGACTGTTCTATCACATCAGCTGGCAAACGGTAAGCTGGCTTCCCCAGTGGGGGGAGAGGTGGGGGGGTGGGGCTCGGCTTTTACATGGGCTCCTCCCACACTTCCTGTCTGGCCCAGGCCTCTCTGCTCCAGGTTTTCTGTTGTCTTGCCCAATAAACCATACCCTCCTCATCCTGGCATTCCAGGCCTTGCTAAATCTGGCTTCATCCTGCCCTGGGTCCATGGCCTGGCCTTGGACTCCTTTGACCCTGGGGGGTGGGCCCCCCCCCCCCCGCCCCTGGCTGGGTCCAGTCCCGCCCTTCCCGTCCAGTCAGCTCCCACTCTCTCTTCCCTGCAGGCCATCGGCCAGGTTCCCCCATCACAGGAGGAAGAAGAGGAAAGAGATGGAGGATGGACTTGCAGAGGGGGGACAGCAGAGACCCAGTGAGTGCTAGGCAGTGAGAAGGGGGTTGTTGGGGACTGGCAGCTCTCTGGGAAGTCAAGAAGCCTGCCCCAGTTTCCTCATCCATACAGTGAGACAGGGGCAGAGCCAGACATGATGGCCGGCTGTCCGCCTGGGACCCACCGGCTTCAGTGTGGCCTTTACCCCTCACCCCCCAGACACCTACACCATCAAGCTGTTTGACCGGAGCGTGGACCTGGCCCAGTTCAGTGAGAACACGCCGCTTTACCCCATCTGCCGGGCCTGGATGAGGAACTGCCCTTCTGTCCGGGAGCCAGAGCGTTCTCCCAGCCCGCCCCCACCTCCCCGGCCGGAGGATGAGGAGGTGAGAGTGCCTGGGGTGAGGGGCAGGGAGGGAAGAGGGCCGTACCCTCCCCGCAGGACCTGACGCGGGCACTTTGGGGCTGATTCTTTCCAAAGGGGACGGAGGTCACCACCGGGAAGAGCCGAGATGTGTACAAGCTGCCACCCCCCACCGCCCCCTGCCCTCCTGGTGAGGCCCCCAGCCCCAGAATCCCCTCCCCACTTCGGCCCGAGGGCCAGGAGGCCTCTGAGGACCCAGTAAGTAGACCCTAGAGCCCTAGAGCAGTTCTTGGAAGGAGATACGTTGGGTGCTCAGACCATTCGTGAGCCAGCTTCCCAACCCCGACTCGGCCTCTGCCTCTCTCTACGCAGCCCCCTGAGACGGCCCCAACCATGTCCTCCCTTATCTACCGCAATATGGAACGTTGGAAACGCATCAGGCAGAGGTATGCAGCCCCCACCCCCGGACCTGCTCCCCAGCTTGACCCTTTAACCCTCCCCCCGGCCCTGACGGCCTGTCGTCCTCCAGGTGGAAGGAAGCTTCCCATCGGAACCAGCTGCGTTACTCCGAGAGCATGAAGATTCTGCGGGAGATGTATGAGCGCCAGTGACCTCCCCCCAATAAAAGTGTCCCCCGACCCCAGCCCCTCTATCTGTTCTCTGCCCCTTCTAAGGCCCACACATCTGACTCCAGCCGGGGAGAGGCCCGGTGCATTTATTGGGTCCTGGAGGCAGGGCCTTTCCAGAGTGTGTGGCATGGGGGTGAGGGGGGTGTTATTGGGAAGAGCAAAGCTGGGACTGTACAAAAGGACAAGGGTGGGGCTGGGAGAGGGGGAAGGGAAGTCCCAGCTTGGGTATGAGAAGGACAGAGGCTGCACCTGTCCATGGGCAAGAAGGGCTAGTGTTTAGGACTGGGGGGGTGTGGGGGGAATAAGGAGGGAGAGGCAGGAGAGAGGGGGGTCAGGGATGGGTGGGAGCAGGGTCAGAATGTGGCAGCTTCTAAGTGCCTACTGAGCCCCGGGCACTGCCCCCTGGGCAATGGGCACCTTGCGCTCAGCAGCCTGAGTGCCAGGGGTGGTGGCCGGGGCTTGGATAGACAGGATCCCCTCAGGAGACAGGGCTGAGGTCACTGCTGCAGGGTCCACACCCTCTGGTAGGCGATAGCGGCGGTGAAACTCCCGAGAGATGAAGCCATGCTCATCCTGCAATATGATAGCATCCCCCTTTAGGCCAGGGTGACTCATGCCCCTGCACCCCTTCCTCACTTCCCTCCCTGCCTTCTTCCCTTACTCCTCTCCTCCTCTGTCTCGCCCCCCTCCCCAACATACCGGACGTTCCTCGTGGCGGGCGTGCACTTCCACATGCTCCCCCACCACCTTGACACTGATCTCCTCCGGGGAGAAGTGCTTCACGTCCAGTAACACGGAGAACTCCCCCTTGGCCCGGGCCACCTGTAGTTAGGGGTTAGGGAGCTCAGGAGGGGTGCAGTTGGGAAAGTCAGTAAGGAGACCCCTGGGGTTATGGGGAGAGGTACCTGAGGGATGACCCCAATAGTCTCTGTGCAGAGAGCTTCTGGGCAATGGTGAACATCCCCTGGGAATGGGGGGGGGATGGCTAAAGAAGTCTCCTGGAGAGAGAAGGGTCAGTCGGGGAGTGCCCAAGGTGAAGTTGGGGAAGGCCCCCCCCTTTTAAGAGGCAGCAGTAGGGGTTCCTTCTAGAGTTGACCTGGGGTCCTTTGGCAATGGGGTGGGTCTTCTCTGGCCTTGAGAAATGCGCCCCCTCCCCCAAACCTGAGTAACCATTCAGCAAAAAGACCCCTTAAGAGTCAGTAGAGGAGGGAAGTGGGAACATTTGGCCCAAGGAAGCATTTAGGAAGGTCCATACCTCTCCAGGGCCAGGATCAGCCCGAAGGGCCACGCTAGGTGCCCGAAGGTAGTAGGGGGCTAGAGCCTGGGGGCAGAGGGCAGCCAGCTCGGCCTCCAGCAGACCCTCCCCAAAGCGCTGGTCGAAGAGCCTGGTAGGGGTGGTCAGGCTGGGGAATGCTAGGGGGGCCGGGCGGCGCAGCCAGGATGGCTGGATGGGCACGGGGATCTCCATGGTCAGGCTGGGCAGCAACAAGTCCCCAGCGGGCACCTGACCTGGCCCTTTTATAGCAGGCCCCCGCCTTCCCCGCCCGTCTCCTCCCTCCCCCAGAGCAGGATTCTGGAGAGTTCGCTGCCAACCAGGAGAGAAGGGAGGGGAAGGGAGAGTCCCAGACAGGGCAGACACACCGCACAGCCAGGGGAGACTTCCAAGCCAGCGTCCCTCATGTCCGCAGATGTTTATTAAAGCCCTGGACAGCTAAGACCCCCTTCCCCCACAGGATTCAGAAGCCTGATTAGTGCAGAGACGGAGAGAGCTACAGACAAACGTGCCAGTGTGTGAGAGCTTCAGGGAGGCAGGGGCAGGCCCCAGGGCGACGGCTGTGCACCTCCCCAAAGGAAGCCCACAGCAGTCCTGGGCATCAGGCGGCCTGTTCCTTTAAGTCACCCCCCACCCCCCAGGGCCAGCTCCTGATCTGGGCAGTGACGCAGGCTGCCTGCCTGGCGGGCCCAATTTCCATTTGGGGCCTGCCTGCCTGAATGGGGGCTGGGGTGAGGCCATGGGTCTGGCATTTGGAGGGGGGGGCACCCTCTTATCCGAGGATTATGGCACCTCCCCCTCCCTCCCGGGGATCTGCTTCCCCCAGGCCACGATAACCAGGGGGCATCAGCTAACCTGCACCTACAAGGTTTTTGGGGGGCAGAGGGGCAGGTATGGGGGCCCCGCCCCAGGTGAGGCAGCTCCGGAGCGCCCTGACGTCCACATTCCTTGGGAATGTGGGATCCTCCTTAGAGATGATTCCGCTTTGAAGGGCCAGCCCGCCCACGCCTCAGGACCGTGCCCAGACCGATGCAGGCTGCCCTGCCCCTAGCCCGGGCTCCCCGAGTCCAGGGGTCAGTCCCCGGACAGAGGCCCGGCCAGGCTCTGGGCCCGCCCCCTCCCTAGGTGCGCGACCCTGTCCCCCAGCTGACGGGTGAGTCACGGCCCCAGGAGAGGGAGGCCAGGACGCGCTGTGCCCCTCGGCGCGGGGCCAGGGGGCATCTGGGACGGGCAGAAATAGCTCGGCCCGCTGATCCCCGCCACCTGTGGGCACCCTGGCCCGGGCACCAAGAATGCCTGGCACCCAGAGGGGCCAGCTGAAGAAACAAAGGCGGCGCCCCGCCCACCACGCACTGAACTTTCTGGGCCTCGGTTTCCCCACCGGTAAAATGGGAGCAATGAACTTCCAGCTCCGAATCCTATTTGTGGCCCCAGCTGAGGGGTCCCGGGGAGAGGGGTCACCTTAAGGGGAAGGGAAATTGAGGGGGTGCAGCCGGGGATGGAGGGAAGATCAGTGAGGAGCTCCCCCCCGGGGGGGCGTGGATGCAGCCGTCTTTGTGCCAGGGGCTTCTGCCGCATGGCGAGCGCCCCCGAGCACGCGTGGGGAGCTGCCCACGCTCCGGCTGGACTTGGGCGGGGAAGGGAGGCCGGGCTGCTCGGATGAGAGCCGGAACCCCCGAAAGGGCAGAATCCTCGTCCCGCGAGGGAATCTAGTGCGCCCAGTGCCTGCCACCCACCCCGTGCTGGTGGCCGAGCCCTTGTCAATCAGTACGCTCTATTTATGGACTTAGAAAGAGGAGTAGCCAATAGAATGGCGCCTGCCATCCTCCGAAGTCCCGCCCCCGCAGGAAAACCCCCCCCCCACGAATGAACGAAGGCGGCATCTGCGCAAGCGCATCTAGGCGCGGCACCTCGAGGCGGTTGGAGAGCGACAGGACCGCTCCCTTTTCCCGCCCCGGTGCTTCCGGCGAGGGGGGCGGGTTTGAGGGGGTTGTTGCTTAGCGACGGACAGCGCCGGCTCCCAGGAGGGAGAAAAGAGAGGAAGAGATCCAAGAGGTGGCGGCGACGGCTGTGGCTGCGGCGGAATGGACAACAGGTGAGGACCGGGCCTCTGGGCCCTACGAGGGGCGCGCTTCCCCGGGCGGGAACTACTGTACCCACGCGGAACCAGAGCCTCCTGGGAGTCGTAGTCCGCTCTATGCCCTTCCAACTCCGCCCCTTTCTTCTCTTTTCAGCCTGGCCGTATTTTCCTTCCGGGGCAACTCTTGCAAAGCCACGCCCCCGAAGAGGCGGAACTATTACCACCCGTCCCCGGAGCGAGAGCGAGGCTGCGGAGGCGGGGCCCGGACCTCGGTGAGGACACACCCTCAGGGACGTTCCGCCGGGAGGAGGCTGGACTCTGTGCTGAGCCAGACTTGGACTGTGTCGGGTGGTTGGTCCCAGCTCCAGGCTTTTCTCCCCTCCTCCCCCGTGCCTCAGTTTCTCCATCTTCAGAGTGGGTCCTCACAGTCCTGGCCATCTAAAAATAAACCGTCTTTTGGCGGAGTTTACCGCCCTAGTGTCCCCGCGGGGAAGCCCAGGCGCGCCCCCTGCAGGCCACCCGATGCCGCGGGTCTCCCCTTGTCAGTTTCTGAAGTGGAGCCCATAGGTCCAGAGGGACCCAGGCCACGAAGTTGCCCTCTCCCCTGGGACTCACCCTCTTAGAATGACTGCTATTAGCATAACGATTTAAGGTTTAGGACTGTGGATCAGGAGCCAATTACTAGCATTTATTTATTCTGCCCCCCGCCCCCGTTTAATGGGCATTTATGAAGAAACCGTCCTTGCTCTCCAAAGGAGAGATGGTGTGCAAATAACTCGGTATAAACCAAAGACAAGAGCATTGGAGACGATCCAGAGAGAAGGCACTAAGATTGAGGAGCCTGGGAAAGGCGCCTTGCGGAAGGCAAGCTGACACTGGCAGGGGTGGGAAGGGAGAGAGTTCCCGCCATGTCCTGGCATGAGGGACCGCCAGGACAAATGCATGGAGTCGGGAGATGGAGTGTGGGGTGTGAGAAACAGAATGCTGTACATCCAGAGGGGAAAGGGGTGTAGGAAGAAATTTTGCAGATGAAGAAGCTAAGGCCCAGGCCAGGAATGCCTATGGGCTTCCTCCTTATTTAAGTGAGCTACAGGTGTTGTATCGTCTGGAGAAACTCTGAAGGGCAAGGGCTTTGCTCTCCCCAGCCTAGGCCAGAGCTGTCCATGGGATAGACACTTAATAAATGTTTGTTAAATTGAATTATGAAGTTGTGCCCTCCAAGTGCCCTCCAAGGCTTAGATCAGATGGCAAGTCGGAGAATCATAGGACTTAGCAATCTAGCCCAATGCCCATTTTACAGAGGAAGATCCTGAGGCCCAGAGAGGGTTTGACTCCAGGTCCAGCGAGTGACCTTTACACCTCGGCACAACTGCCTCTCTTCAGTGCTCATTTCTCCAGCCCCAAGGCTGCTAATCCTTCAGTCAGGGGACTCACTGGGCTTGGAGGTTTGACATCAGCTCTGTGACCCCTTGGGCAAGTCAGTAAGCTGCTACCATCTGTAAAATGGGTCTGAGGAAAATGACCTTCTGATGACTGGGCTCCTGACATGTCCTAAGGAAAATGCTTCCTATTGAAAGATAGAACAGTGGATAGGGCTGGTTTTGGGGTCAAAGGGCACGGAGGGCAGGGTTTGCATCTCACCTCTCTCTTTTACCACTTGTGTGTGTGACCTTGGACAAGTCACCTCCCTCTGCCTTTCTTCCTTTGTCAAGGAAGTGATAGGCCTTCCAGAACCAGGGAGGTGTTGCTTTCCACCCTTCACACCTGGGGCAGGCTGGCGATGTAAAAACATGGGCTTGTTGGCCTTCAGTGACTGCCCCCAGTGGTGGAGCCTAGACCAGAATGGAGGGGTTACGGATTACTGGGACAGGAACAGGAAGGGCCAAATCTCTTGACATTGTCTAAGTCGGGTCCAAAATTAGGGTTAGGTCCAGGAAGCTGGTTTGTGTGGGGAGGGATAGAGGAGGAAGGTCTGGGAGGGAGCCTGGAGCCCCAGCTTTTCTTCCCTGCCTCCAGGTCCTGAGCCCATCACGACCACCTCAGCTCAGCCTTCCAGCTTCTCCTCCAGCCCCCACATCCCCAGACTTTGAAGAGTCATGGCCTTCCACAAGCCTCTCTTCACCCTCTGATCCCCCAGAAGAACAGACAGGCCAGTTAGGGGACTCTGTGCTTGCCAGGTAAGTAAGGAGAACCAGAATCTGGGAGGAGGTGAGCCCCCTGGAATGGGAGGAAAGGAACTTCCCCGGCCTGAGCCCAGCCTCCCCGCTTTACTTCTCCCTGTGACAGGTACATGGCTCGGTTCCGGCAGGCTCAGCCCACCAGCCGCCAGGAGCGGCAGGCAGCAGGCCCCACAGCTGCTGACTTCTGGTGGTTGCAGCCCCCAGCCCTGGGCTGCCCTGGTCCCTCAGCAGGTACCTGCCCCGTCCCTTGCTAGGGGACCCCCGTACTCTTATTGCCCAGGGAACCGGGCCCACAGCAAGCCTGTATTCTGGGGTAACTGGCAGGTCCAGACAGGTGTCTTACAGAGTTGGGAGGGTTGCTGGTGATTGTGTTTCTTGCAGATAAGGAGGCTGGAGGAGGCGGGCTCAGCCCAGCCATCCCAACCCAGACCACGCCGCACGGGGCAGGAGCGTGGAGGATGGAAGACTGTATGTCAGGAACACACGAGGTGACTGATGGTTGAGGGGACAGTCATAGCTCAAGGGGTGGACAGCCAGCTCCAAGACCAGGGTCCTCAGAGTGCTTTTTTACCTTCCCCCGAGAGGGACAGTATGAGGGATTTGTCATTCCTTTGTGGCAGTAAAGAGACTGTGATCAGAGCCCAAAGTCACGGAGCAGAGGGGGCTGGAAGTAGGCAGAATCAGGCTTCTGGCCTCCCATCTTGGGGCTGTAGCAGACCAGGTTGGGAACCGCCTGGCCCCAGGCCCGTGGGAGCACCGTGATTCTGGACCTCCCTCCCTAGCAATCCCTCTGGGAAATGGGGGTAGTGGCTGCTGACTGACCCTTTGGGTCAGGGACTGTCAGGGACAGTGGCCCTGCAGGGCCCGAGCCCTCGGCCTTTCCTCCTTCTCTGGCCCAGGGCCACATTTCTTCACTGGAAGCCTCAGACACATCTGCGTTGGATCTCGAGACCCTGAGTCTCCAAGACAGGGCAACCCGGCTTCTCCGCCGGAGGTGACTGCCTTTCCTAGTCACAGGTTCCCCCTATCTTCCCCCCTCCCCTTCCCCAAAGTTCTAGTGGGTCTGTGTTGCCTTTATGATAATTAAAATCCTCAGCCTGGCATTGGCCCCCTGCCCCTTTCCGGTCTTGCTTTGCTTCACTCCTAACCTGCATGCCAGTCACGCCAACCAGTGGCAGCGGTATGTACACAGCCCTCCATCTCTTTGTAGCCCTCCCCTCAATATTCTTCCTGCCAGAATCTCCCAAATACTTACCAGCTGTGTGAGCCTGGGGAAGTCACTTCACCTCATTTGCCTCAGTTTCCTCATCCGTAAAATGAGGATACTAATAGTACCTACTTCATGGGGTGTTGTAACAGTAACTACAAACCTTAAAGTTCTATATAAGTATTTGCTGTTATTACTTTGTTATTTTTTCTGTATATGTGCTATAACCTGCCGCCCCCCCCCCATTGGAACAGATCTTTATGGGTAGAGATGGTCGAGTGGCCAGAGCCCAAGGCAGTGCCAGGCTGGGTGTAGTAGAAGCTTAAGAAGGCTTGTTGGACAGACCCCCTCCTCAGGCCTCCTTTTACCCTTTTATCTTGCTCATTTCCCCCAGTGAGATTTCTTCCAGCAGCAGTAATGAAGTTGCCTCCATCCCAGTCAGCTCTGAGGGCCTCCCCTCCTACTCCCCACCCTTCACCTCTGACCCTGGAGCAGGCCCTCACCCCAGGGAACCAGGTGAGATTGACACCTTCCCCCTCCCAACTCCCCAGGGGCCCAGTAGGACACACACACATATACACACACACACACACACACACGTACATATATATATATATATATATATATATATATATCCTGGCCTCAGTCTGAAGCCAGAAGTCTTTCTCACAGCCCCATTGACAAGGACCCAAGTCCCTCTGCCATCTGTGACCTGTCCAGAGGATGACATCCTTTCCCAGTGGCGTCTCCGGAGGAAGATGGAGCTGGCCCAGGAGCAGTGTGCAGATGGGCCCCAGGCACAGTCCTGGCTCCCCAACAGGGCCCTGGTATGGAGTACAAGTGAGGCCCAGGGAACTTGGCAATAGTAGCAGGAGGTGGGGAGGCATGTCCCCTCAAAGATCTTTCTGTGTTCTCCTCCTCCAGATCACTATGACCTATGGTCAGCCTCAGCCGCACCAGATATATGCTCCAGGACCCACTGTTGCCAACCAGCTGAACTCTCTAGTCCCCCTCAACAACCCCCAGCCTAGCCCCTCTGCCCCTCTCAGCAACTCCCAAGCAAGCCTCCCAGCCCAACTGTATGGACCCCAGCAGGTCCCCCTGGCCCCCCTCTGTGGGTCCCAGCAGGTTCCCGCAGTCCCCCTCTATGGCCCCCCGGCCCCCGTCTGTGGGTCCCAGCAGGTCCCCCCGGCCCCCCTCTGTGGGCCCCAGCAGAGCCCTGCTGTCCTCTGTCCACATGAGCTAAGTCCCTCAGTTTCCTTCAATATTCCCCAACCAAACCCTCCGGTCCCTCTTAGTCTTCCTCAGCCATGCCTTCCAAACTCCCCTTCTACTCCCCACCCAAGTCCTGTGGTGCCTCTTTGTACCCCTCAGCCAAGCCCCCCTGCCCCATGTTGTGCTTCCCAGCTAAGCCCCCAGCCATCAGTTCCAAATTCCCTTGCTACATGTCAGAGCCCTTTCGCTCTTCACTCTGGCTCTCCAGAAACAGGTTGCAAAAGATTCCAGTCTGGGGCCTTTCTCCCAAGTTCTCGGGGCCTTTCTGAGCCTAAGAGGCAAGACCACAAGCCCAGAAAGGCCCGGAACCCAGACACCAAAAACCGGGCTCCCAGGCCGGGACCCCTGCTGAGGGGGACCCTAGAGCAGGTGGTGGCTGCTCGTCTCTTCCCAAGACCTTCAGAAGACTCCTCCTGCCCCTGTGAGGCCCCCCCTTCTCCTGCTGAGACCCCACCCCCCAGGGAGCTGCTCGCTTTGGCTTCTGGGTTACTGGAAGCTGCAGAAGGTGAGTGCATCAGGAAGAGGCTGGGAGTGGGGCATGGGTCGCCCTTGGCACTCCTGGAGACCCATAGGAGCGTCCCTGTTCCTGCCCTTCCCAGACTCAGATGGGACAGACTTTGAAGAAGACGCTCTGCTGCAGGTGCTCCGGGCCCGGCGTTCAGAGCTCCGGACATGCTTGAGGTGAGCCTCCTCCTCCACCCTCCCACAGACAGCCCCCTCCTCAGTAAGACACGTAGTCCTGGAGCCACACTGCCCCACCCCAGCCCTGCTCTGTGGGCCCCTCCGCCCTGTCCTAGGACCTACCACCCTTGAGCCTCCCAGCTCACGCCCCTCTGTGGCCTTCCTCCGCTCCCCTCTCCTGGCCTGCTCCTCCTGCCTCTTTCTTTGCAAACCCCTTTCCTTCCACCTTCAGGGAGGTTAACAAGCACCTGTCCAATCCCATGGACCCCGAGAACTTGGGGCCCAATTTCCAGCCAGCCAGAATGTTGGGCTCCCCCAAGGAGATCTCCAGTGGACATAAGATTGAGGAATAAATGTTCAGTAAATTGTATCAGTTGCTTTCTTCAGTGATGGAGGAGGAAGGGAGGGCAGAGCCTGGAGCCAGGGGCTGGGTCTGTGGAGGAGGCATCTTCAAACCCTTCGGTGGCACCTGCCCTCAGGATCCTGGGGGCAAAGGAGGAGAGAAGTGGGGAGGGGGCTGATTGCAGCTTGTGAACAGAGAATGCACAGGCAGGGGCTGAGGTCAGAGGGGCCAGAATCTTAAAAAGGATGAGAGAGTGGGAAGAAGGTTTGGGGACATTTGAGAAGTGAGGCCACGTGTGTAGGGGGGTAGGTCGGATTCAGGAAGGAGAGAGGGGCCCTTTTGTGGACCCAAACAGCGGGCCTTGTTCTGGAGCTGTGCGGGGCCTCGGAAGGCAGCTTCCTTATTGTACAGATGGGGAAACTGAGTCCCAGGGAGGTTCAGGGAACTGGCCAGGGCCCAGAAGTGGTCAATGACCCGGCTTCAGTTCAGAGCCAGGTGCTCGGACTCCGGTGACGTGCGCCCCGCCTTGGCACCGCGCTGCCCCTCCGGGAGGCCGGGAGCACCCCGGGGCCCCCCTCCCCTCCCCTCGGGGTTTAGCTGCACAGCCTCCCGACAAGAGCCGCTTTGTTTGACAGCCGTCCGGACAGCTCCCGGGGGCGGGCCTCGTGGGGCGGGGCCCAGCAGGCCCGTGACCAATGAAGAGCCGGCGGGGCGGGGGTGGGGCTTGCCCTCCTCTTTGGCTGGCCGGCGCCCTCCCAGTTCCCGCCCCCTGCGCGCGCCCGGCCGTTGGGGCCGTTAGGGGCGTGGCCTCGCCCCGCGCGCCCCTCTCCCCATTGTGTCGCCATGGCGGCAGCGGAGGCGGAGGCTGCGGAGGAGGAGGCCCTGGCCTGAGGAGGAGGAGGAAGAGGAAGAAGAGGAGGAGGAGGAGTGCGGCCTGGGACCCTCGCCCGCCCGGGGTAACAGGGTGACGGCGGCGCAACTGGCCATGGTGGTGAGCGGGACGGGGGCGGTGTCCTGTCCGCCTGGGTGGTGGGGCAACGGGGGCGGGGCGGGGCCCTGCTGCCGGGGCCTCCGTCCTCCCCTTCCGGGGGTCCGCGTCCTCCCCTCCCGGGGTCTTTATCCTCCTCTCAGTGAGTCCTCCATCCTCCCCTCCCGGGGATCTCCGTCCTCCCCCTCGGGGTCTCCATCCTCCCCTCCTGGGATCTCTGTCCTCCCCTCCCGGGGTCTCCATCCTCCCCTCCCGGGGTCTCCGTCCTACCCCTCCTGGGATCTCCGTCCTCCTCTTCCGGGGTCTCCATCTTCCCCTCCTGGGATCTCTGTCCTCCCCTCCCGGGGTCTCTGTCCTCCCTCTCAGCAGGTCTCTCCATCCTACCCCTCACTGGGCTCTGTCCTCCCCTCAGCCCAGCCTTCTTCTGTCTGGTCAGCCTGATTCTATCCTCCTCTAAACCCGATATGTCTTCTACTTCAGCCCTGCCTGACCTCCTTGGCCTTGGCCACATCTTCCCCCTTATCTGCCTTCCCCTCACTCTGCTCCATCCTCCGTGACCCCTCCTCAGCCTGGTCCCGTCCTTCATCCCACCCTGACCTCTCCCTTCAGCCTGATGACTCCTAGTCACCTCAGGCCACCCGAGGGCTCCTTTTGTCCCTGGCCCAGCCCCTTCATTCTCTCTGTTGCAGAGCCATAGCTTTTCTCATCCCGACTTAGCCCTCGCCCACTTGGTCCATTCCTCCGACCTCCCCAGCTACCCGCTCGTCTGCTCCCAGCCCTTGCTGGCTACTCTGACCCCCTTCTGCCTTGATCCCATCCTTTGCCTCCAGCCTGGGCATTCTTCGTGTCTGCCCTGCCCCCATCACAGCTTTCCCCCTGCTGCTTTACCCGGGCCTGTGACCAACCTGTCCCAGCCCCATTTGGTTCAGCCAATCATTTCTGCCAGATGGGGGTCTTCTTTCACCCTTCCCCTCTCCTCACTGGCCCTCATTTCTTTCTTGGTCTATCGGAACAGTGTCCCATCCTCGCTCTGACTACAGCGTCTTCCTGATTTGCCTGTCTCCACAGAATGCCTCATTCCCTATACCCCTTCTGCATCCTTTCTTCCTATCCCATGTTAGGGGACTCTTGGAGCAGCTGATGGTGCAATGGATAGAGAGCTGGGCCTGGAGTCAGGAATACTTGAGTTTGAATCCTGCCTCAGATACCCACTACCTGGGTGACCCCGGGCAAGACACTTCTTCTCTGTCTGCCTCAGTTTCCTCATCTGTAAAATAGGGATAATAATAGCACGTACTTCCCAGGGTTGATGTGAAGATCAGTTAAGATAATATTGTAAAGCATTAGGACAATACCTGGCAGAGTAGTGCTATATAGTTACTATTATTGTTGTATCTATGGCCTCCTCTCCCCCACTCTCTCCATCCAAAGATTCCCCACCACACACACACACACACACACACACACACACACACACACGTACATACACACCTTCTCTTCTATGCACTTCTTGACATCTCATCACAGACGATAGGTGCTACCTTCACGGTGTCTGGAATGTTCTGGCCCTGCCTTTGCTTGCACTCAAGAGTCCTATTGGACTTCTTTTTTTAGTCCTGTGCCAGCCACACTACCTTGTCTTCTTCTCTGACTCTGCTGTTGAAGAAATAGCATCCGGGCTTCTTTTGTAACTCTAGGTTCTAGCTAGGGGCCAGGCATTCCTCAGGCACCTTTCTTTTCCCACAGGCCAGAAGCACAGATAACCTGGATGGTCCAGGAGAGGGGCCCGTACAGCCCCTACCTCCTTCAGGGGGCTCTAACGTGAAGGGGAAACCTGGCAAGAGGTAGGAAGAGATGGGTGCTGCTTGGGATTGTAGGAGGTGAGGTCATATCTTGAGCTTGGCCAGGTCTCCCCAATTCTAGGGGACCCCAGTTCTAAGTTCAGCTTAGGGGACTGGACCAAGGTGCTCAGGGTGACCTGTGACTTACATCCCTAGGATCTCCGCCCCTCGTGGTCCTTTTCCCCGGCTGGCTGACTGTGCCCATTTCCACTATGAGAATGTCGATTTTGGCCACATTCAGGTACTTGGGGTCCCCCATCTGGGCATGGCAGCATGAGAGCCCTGAGATGACCACTGCCCCCCAGAGCAGCCCCCTTTCCATTTGCCTGCTCTCTCTCCTGTTGCGTGTTATGTGGTTGGGTTTAGTGCCAGAACCTGGGCCTTGGATCCTTGATTTTTCCCTTTCAGCTGCTGCTCTCTCCAGATCGTGAAGGCTCCAATCTCCCTAGCGATAATGAGCTGGTGTTTGGGGTCCAGGTGACCTGTCAGGTGAGACCCTTGATTCTGCATTTTGCCTCTCAGCTCTACACTGACTGATCAGTGTTAGCCTAGCCTCGCTCCCAGTTTGTCCCAGATTGACCCATGAACCTTCCCCAGCCTGAAGTTATGAGTACAATCAGTCACTTTTACCCTGCTTGACTCCCTGTTTCCCACAGGGCCGGTCCTGGCCTGTTCTCCGAAGCTATGAGGATTTCCGCTCCCTGGATAGCCATCTTCATCGCTGCATCTTTGACCGTCGGTTCTCTCGCCTTCCAGAACTGCCCCCAGCTCCAGAGGGCTCCCGGAACCGGGTAGAGCCCCACCCTCTGCCTTGCTCCCTACACTTCAAAACTGGGAACAAGCGGCATTTCAACAGTAAGGGATGGAGGGAAGGGAAGCTGCTTGGTTCCACCTAATCCCTACCCCGCTTTCTTCCCCATCCAGCTGCTAGTGCCACTGCTCCTACAGTATCTTGAAACCCTCTCTGGACTGGTGGACAGTAACCTCAACTGTGGCCCCGTGCTTACCTGGATGGAAGTAGGAGTTGTGTGTGTGTGTGTGTGTGTGTGTGTGTGTGTGTGTGTGTGTGTGTGTCTGTGTGTGTGTGTGTGTGTGTGTGTGTGTGTGTGTGTGTGTATGTGTTCTCAAAAGAACAAGAGTAAGAGAGGGAGAGATAGAGAGAGAGAGGAGAGAAAGAAAGAGAGGAGAGAGAGAGTATGAGGGAGGGAAGGAAATAGACCAGGGTGTAGGAAGCGAGCCAGGCTAAGTGTTTTAAGTTGAAGGGCTGGATCAAGGGTAGGATGCATGAAAGACAGCTGTGGGCAAGTAAGGGAAGAGTCACTTAGCAGAAAGAGCTGGGTTATGGCTCTCTCTGTGTCACTGCGTCCTGAAGAGAACGTGAGCTGTGGTGAAGAGTATGGGCTTCGGGGCAGGGAGGCACATGCATATCAGAAGGGCTTGGGAAATGTCTGGGGAAAGCATGTAATGGGAAAATCCTTGTGAGTGGGAGGATGGGAGTGTGCCTTCAAGGAGGGCCACCACCTTCGTCTCCCTCTGCCCCGCCGCCAGCTGGATAACCACGGCCGACGGCTGCTACTCAGCGAGGAGGCCTCCCTGAACATTCCTGCAGTGGCCGCAGCGCACGTGGTCAAACGGTACACGGCACAGGCCCCCGATGAACTGTCCTTTGAGGTAATGTTTCAGGGGAAGGGGCTGCAAGGCTTGTTTTGGATATTGACCCTCCTCTGACTCCCACTTGCTCCCCATTCTCAGGTTGGTGACATTGTCTCTGTGATTGACATGCCACCCACAGAGGACCGAAGCTGGTGGCGTGGGAAACATGGATTCCAGGTAGAAAGGGGGCAGGTGAGAACCTAAGGGGGTGAGAACCTTGAAGGATGTCGGGCCGTCTGACCTTTGGCTTTTGACCCTTCTCCTTAGGTTGGTTTCTTCCCTAGCGAGTGTGTGGAGCTGTTCACCGAACGACCAGGCCTGGGGGTCAAAGCTGGTAACAGCTAGTGGGCAGTGCCAGGGGAGAGGGTGGGGGAGGGGGGAAGGGACCTCAAGCCATCCATGCTGGTTTCCCCCCACAGATCCTGATGGCCCCACATCCAGCATCCCAGCTCCCCTAAGGGAGGGCCCTCCCTCTCTCACGTCAGGTAACAGAACTGAGGCTGTCATCCCCTGGGCCCTGTCCCAGCCCACCCCCTCCCCTCTGT